GCCCATAGATTTCCACTGCTCTCCTCTCCTCTGCCTTCTGTCCCAAGGACCGGCCCATAGATTTCCACTGCTCTCCTCTCCTCTGCCTTCTGTGCATCTGCAGGTCAGGCACTGGACCCAGCTGTTCCTCCTCTTCCTCATCAGCCACCTGCAGACCTGGAGGGCTGTTGATTCTCCATCTGCGGGCTGATGGGCGGCCCAGACTCCATTCCCTCTTCCCCCTCAGAGCTCTCAGGTTGCCTTGGTGCTGGACCCTGACTCTCATGCCTCTTTCTCCTCCTCTGATTCGGCTGCTGGAGGGGCCAGCAGCCAACAGGCCACAACACAACCATTCCAAGTTTTAAAAAGTGACTTATGACCAGTTTTCCCACTTATGACCCTAACAGCATCCCCATGTTCACGTGATCAAAATTCAGAGGCTTACCTATTTATGACAGCTACAATGTCCTGGGGTCACGTGATTCCCCTTTTATGACCTTCTGACGAGCAAAATCTATGGGCGAGTCAGATTCACTTAACAACCCTGTCGCTAACTTCACACAACTGCAAATGATACACTTAACCATGGCAACCAGAGAGATCGTATAAAATGAGGCAAAACGCGCTAAACTATTTTGGCTTGGCAAGAGAAATGTTGGGCTCAATTGCTCAGTCGCAGGTCGAGGACTAACCATACCACCTGGACACAACACAATTTTTGAAATGTCGTGCCTGCATATTTGTGGTTGATTGCGCCCTGTGTGAGAACTCAAGGTCACCTGGTTGCGGTTGAAGAAATAAGGGAGGAGGGGAAAACAGCCTTACCTGTGAACCCTCGAATCACACCTTAACACAATCAGGGGGTCAATGAGAAGGTCCTTCTGGGTGTACTTCTGCTGTCTGACCGTTTTGCCGGACGGCTGCAGGGCATTCACTGTCATTACCCACAACCTGGAGGACAAAAAAACCGCTGTAAATATAAGAATTTCCAGAACTGCCAAGCTAAATCAGGGCAAGGCCCAGGTTAGAGCACATGTCTCTCTTCCACTGGCCAGCCAGGTGTAATAGGCAGAAGGAATCACCTGGAGGAACTGTCAGCTGTAAAGAATCAGGACTACCTGGTTTGTTATTGCCACCTATATACAGGCAGTCCTAGACTTGCAACAGTCCATTTATGGACCGTTTGAAGTTACAACGGCACTGAAAGGAGTGTCAGGGTTCCAGAAATTGCCCTAATGAAATCGTGATTCTCGAGCCAAACTTCAAAAAACTCCAAAGGATTCATTAGAGGCGACATACTGGCACTGCCCTGTATGAAGTCAACTCTGGCATACGTCATTTACAGTCCCCTGTGACCCTGTTTCCCCCCTGGTTGTCTCATAAACCAGATTCTCCAATTGAACACGTTCACAGACTGGGCGTCATCATTCACACTCTAAAATTGAATATATTCATGGGAAAAAGCTCTGGTATTTTAGTTACAGTCTTTTAAAGAGAAGAGTTGGAATGTACTTTTGCTTCCAAACTGCTGCACTGATCTTCCAGATTTTTTTCCCCCCCCCCCCCCCCCCTTTTTATGGCAACTACTAAAACAGGCATAGCAATGTTTTATGAGTTGACAGAGTGTCTTAGGGCTGTTTTTCACACTTACGACCGTTGCAGCATCCCCATGGTTTTGTGATCAAAATTAAGATGCTTGGGAACTGATTCACATTTATGACGGTTGCAGTAACCTGGGATTGCGTGATCCCCTTTTGCGACCTTCTGACAAGCAGACTTCATGAGGAAGCCAGATTCGTTTAACAACTGTGCTACTAATTTAACAGCTGCAGTGATTCACTTAAAAACGGTGATGAGAAAGGTCACAACACGGAGTAAAAGTCACTTAACCAATGTCTCTCTAAGCAACAAAAGTTCTGGGCTCAATTGTGGTTGTCAGTCGAGGACTACCTATATACAGGAATGTGGCTTGCCCTTTCAGATTAATACCAGGCCAACAATCAAGAAGTAAACAATTTGCCAAATAAGAAGTCACCAACTCAAGGCAAACAAGCTACCATTAAACAACACCCTAATCTGCCCCAGGAATTGCGGATACAGTTCTACTTAAAACCATAATTGAGCCCAAAATTTTTTGTACGTACACTTGTTGGTATGTACATGTTGTTTGTATGTTCAGTGATTATATTAACTTGTTGTTTTGTATGTACGCTGATAGCTTATGCACCAGAAACAAATTCCTTGTGTATCCAATCACATTTGGCCAATAACTAATTTAAATTCCGAATTCAAATTCTGAATTCCAAATTCAAATTCTGAATTCCGAATTCAAATTCTGAATTCCGAATTCAAATTCTGAATTCCAAATTCAAATTCTGAATTCCAAATTCAAATTCTGAATTCCAAATTCCAAATTCCAAATTCCAAATTCAAATTCTAATCCTATGGGCCACCAAAAACACTCCCAACCAACACTGACAGGCCAAGCCTGTATATATAAAATCAGAGTTGGAAGGGACCTTGTAGGTCATCTAGTCCAACCCGCTGCCCAAGTGGGAGCCCCTACACCATTTCTGACCAACGTATACAAATACATATATATTCTGACATATAAATACGGAGCAAGTCCCACTCCCTTCGAGCACTGATGACATTATCTAGCTGGGTCATGAAATGTCTGCAAGAAAATCACCAAAAACTCAGAGAGCCCCAAGGACCCCCTCATTTCAACCCTGAGCTACAAATATTCCATTCTGTCAGCAACAGCACTCCACTGCGAAGGTCGCTACCTTCCTAACCCTTCCAGGCAGAGCAGCTCCAGACTACTCACCTGCGTGGCATCACCATGTTCAACGCCATCCAAATCCTGTTGACCGTTTGAAGGATTCGCCGGGGGACTCCAGGATGGAACAGTTGGTGCATGTTAGATGTCAGCACCTCGGCGTAAGGGATTAATTCGGCAGCCGAGAGAAGCGTTAAGTGCTCCAAAATCTGCAGGACCTGAGTGTGATTCCCTTGCAGCGTTGAGAAAGCTAAAAAAAAAAGACATTGAAAAAAAAACTCCGTTTGATTTTTGACTACCTCAAAGGACTGACACCTCCACTGAGATGCCTCATGTTAATTTCTGGCATGTTATACTGGGAAAATTAGTACAGGAAATCCTCTACTTACCACCACTCATTTAGTGACTGTTCGAAGCGACAAGACACTGAAAATAGTGGTTTAGCAATAGCACTTATTATATACCGCTTTACAATGCTTTATAGCCCTTTCTAAGTGGTTTATGTCAGAGTATATTCATGAACTGGAATAGGGCACGGTAACAAGGTCAACCAATGAACAGGCAAAGCAACTAAGTCAGCCAATGAGGACTGTTTGGAAAATGAAACTAGAAACTAGAAGTATAGTGGCTCTGTATTAAGCTCTGCAACTCTGAAAGCTGTGTTAAGCTCAGAGTCTGTCTATTGAAAATGAACTGCCAAATTGCAAGCGGCCTGCAGGCAGCAAAAATAGCCTGCAGTATTGTATTCTAACCACTGCACCATTGCAGCTCATTGATCCCAATTGATTTATGACTGTTTTTCACATTTATGACCGTCGCAGCATCCCCATGGTGACATGATTAAAATTCAGAGGCTTGGCAACCGGCATGTATTTGCGACGGTTGTGGTGTCCTGGGGTCATGTGATTCCCCTTTTGCGATCCTCTGACCACAACTGAGCTAAAATTTCTGTTGCTAAGCAAACAGAAACAAATTGTTGGAAGTGTAACTGCGTCCAGGGAAGATACTTTCACATGAGGTGGACATGTCCATATGCCCAGAAGTTTTGGAAAAATATTAAAAATTGGATTTTAAATATAACTGAACAAGATGCAAAACTTGAACCTGAAACCTTTTTGTTGGGTATGATAGATTCAAAAATAGAAAAAAAATATCAATATTTAATCTTGCACATTATAATGGCAGAGAGAGGGAGAGAGAGAGACAGAGAGAGAGAAAGAGAGAGAGGGAGGGAGAGAGAGAGAGAGACAGAGAGAGAAAGAGAGGGAGGGAGCTTGGGCCATCAGCCCTCAGATGGAGAGTCAACAGCTCCCAGGCCTGGAGGTGGCTAATGAGGAAGAAGAGGAACACCTGGGTCCAGTGCCTGATGGACGGATGCACAGAAAGAGGAGAGGAGAGCAGTGGAAATCCATGGGCCGGTCCTTGGGATGGAAGAACTACCGCTGCTTAACAAAGCCCCACCCTAGCTCTGGGGTTAAAAGACAGGGGGCGGAGATAAATAGATGTGGCGGACAACTATTCATCTTCCAGCTGGACAGACAGGTGGCGAGAGAGAAACTTTTTGCTGGGGCTCTTGTCGCTCCCAATAAAGGAATGTTTGAGTTAATTTCAGAGGGTTTATTGTGTTTGGGGAGCTGGGTCAGAACAACTTTGCTTGTCCGGAGGTCACAAAAGGTGATCACGATTCCTGGACTCGGCAACCGGCATAAGTACATGCCAGTTGCCAAATGTCTGAATTTTGATCACGTGACCGGGGGGGATGTTGCAACAGTCATTATAAAGTGTGAAAGCCGGTCAGAAGGCACTTTTTTTCCGTGCTCTTAGTGTGGTCCCTAAATGAATGGTTGTTAAGTACAGGACTACCTGCAATCTGTAGTCCCCTGGCCCTATTTCTTTCATATTTTCTCCGTAAGACAATGTTACGGCAGTGCCACGGGTAGGACCAAAATCACCCAGGGTTACTTCTAAGGAGACCCACCTTCCTGCAGTTGCTCTGGGGAGTGTTTCTTGGCAGCGTTGGTCAGGAGCATCTTGCGCAGCAAAACGTCGGTGCCCGTGATGTGTTCCTCACAGATCCAGTCGTCCACGATGCAAAGGTGGGGATAGTTGGTTGCCAGGAGGCGCAGCAGGGCAGAATGCAAACCTGGGGAGGGAAGAGCAGAGAGAGAAACCGGGGCCACTTTCTAGCCTGGTGCCTTAAACCAGGGGTCTCCAACCTTGAGAACTTTCAAGACTTTGTGGACTTCAACTTCCAGAATTCCTCAGTCAGCAAAGCTGGATGGTGGGGAATGGAAGAACTCTGGTAGTTGAAGTTCACAAAGTCTTAAAAGTTGCCAAGGTTGGAGACCCCTGCCTTAAACTGGCTCTCCAACCATTTACATTCTAAATTCTAACAAGGACAGTGAAAGCTATTTTCCTCTGCCCGGGTTTCACCTTGTAAACGAATCAAATGCTTTTGAGATTTGGGGCATTTGCATTGAACTGCCGGTGTTTTTCACATTGTTTTAGCCTTCCAGCAAATATACGCCATCAGTGGGTGAGCGCATTTTGTCCATCCGTACACACCATTGTCTCTTCTAAGTGAAGGCAAATGTTGGGCTCTGAGTTCACTCAGAGCCCGTCAGCTCCGAATATGCCTTGCAGCATCAGCTGGACATGTCACCTTATCTTTGTTGCTGCCGGATCTGTATTTTTGCTTGTGTGCTGACGGATGGCTTTGGAATGACTCAGCAGAGCTGAGGATGGATTCCGCAACAACTCCGGAGCTGCAGGATGGATTCTGAAACAACTGCGGGGCTGCAGGATGGATTCTGAAACAACTGCAGGGCTGCTGGAACTGGCTCTTTTCACGTATTGATGTGGTGCATATTGTTAAAGGGGGTTGGGGCATATATAGGTGGTAATTAAGACTTAGGTTAAAACATGGTGAAGGTGGCACCAGGTGGGGATCAGTTACTGAGGGTCGGAATAGGGTAGGGATGTAGACATGTTATAGGGTTAATAACATGTAGGGATAATGGGTTAGGCGTGGCCAGAATTAGAACTGCGTATAGGTGTGGGTGTGGTGGGGTGTGTCTCATGATAACGGTAATAAAAAGAAAGGCAGCAAACTCAAACCCAACTCTAACCTTGCCTGGCTTTTAGCCTTTCTTGTCAGAGAAGAGTATTTGTTGTTTGCTGAGCTAATGAATAAACCACCATTGCACTACAAAGGAGCTGGAGTTTGTATTCATTTCAGGACAAATCTTCAGTACTCAAGGACTGGCTGAGAACCAATAGATATGTCCCAGGATAATGACGCAAGATCGAATTTGGGTCGCTCACCGGGACCACAGGTTTAGTCTTCTGAGCTTTTGGATTCGTGATGGAGCCCATCCTAGGGAATTTCTCTCTACTGAAATACATGTTTTGGGCTCTTCTGTGAGTTGTGATTATGGGGTGACTTCCTATTGGCTGATTGGCATGTTGACTGACAAAGGGCCTGTTTAATAGGAGTGCCGAATTACCACCGGTTTGCCAAATACTTACGAGCCAAGGGCTTGGCAGCCCAAAGAAACAACAACAAATCGCCAGCCATCAACACATTGACCAGCCAATAGGAAGGCACCCCATAAAACACATACTTTAAACACTCACTAAATGACCAGTTATAAATCAAGGATACCGTTGTGGTTAAAAATCCTTTTTCTCTCCTAATGAAAACACAAAGGAGTCCATTTTTGAACAACAGAACTTATCAGGCAGATAAAACCAAGCCATTGGTCAGAGATGGTTTAATCAGAATTCCAGAACATTTTAATCAAAAACTCCAGACTGGGGTGTGTGTGTGTATGTGTAGACTAGATCAGTGGCCCCCAACCTTTTCTGTGCCACAGCCCGGTACCGGCATCACAAAATGATCCGCGGCCCGGTACCGGCATCAGCACGCATGACAAGGCAAGGCGAGCCAAGCGACCGGCCAGCCAGCCGTCCCTCGCTTCTCCCCACCACCTTCAACTCCTCCTTTGTACCTTTTTTGTGCTTTTTTAATCTCCTCCCCCATCGGGACGGCTTTTTGTTCGAAGCCGCCCCTCCCCCTTCGATGAAACTAAGGCGCGAGGATTCCTTCCAAACCCCGCTTTCCAACCGGAAAAGCTCCCCCGGAAGCACTTTCTCATCTAAACAAGATGGCAGCGCCCAGCAAACCGGCAGCCCGGTAGAAAATGATCCACGGACCGGTACCGGTATGGGGCCCGGTGGTTGGGGACCCCTGGACTAGATGACCTCAAGGGTCCCTTCCAACTCCAGGATTCCGTGATAAAAACTTTAGCTGAACCTACCTCCCAATTCTTGCTGCTGTCCTTGAGCCTGCCGGATGAGGAATTTAATCGGGATCTGATCCATCAGCGCGGGGGAGTAAGACTTGGGCTTTCTTTGCATGGCAGCTGTTGAAGACAACAACAACAAAAAAAAGACAGCAACAGCCTTGTTGGCTATGCAGATTCTCAGCCATCCAGGTCATGGTTGTCCCAAAAGTGCTTTTTTTTCAAGAGGCAGCTGGACTTTCTGGTTTTTCTTTGAAGAAGTTTTGCTTCTCATCCAAGAAGCTTTTTCAACTCTGACTGGATGGTGGGGAATGGGTTTATACTCCTTGCAGACAGCTGATCATTTGCGTCCTTTTAGAGAGTCAATGAGGCCACTTGGAGGTCTGTCTGTCCTCAACGTCACCTGAATGGTAGAAATGGGTGTGGAGCCTTCTTGGAACTGTTGAAAGGACTGTGTTGTAGACTGGAGATATGATCACATCATGTCCCTCCCCTTCTGTTGAGGGAGGGCTGTTCAATTTTGACACAGGTGGCCTCTTTGACCCCTCTTTCAAACCAGCAGTCCTCCCTGTGCAAAATGTGGACTTTGCTGCCTTCAAAAAAGTAGCCTTTCAGACGCTAAAAGGATGCAAATGACCAGCTGTCTGAAAGAAATATAAATCCTTCCATTCTCCACCATCCAGTCAGAGCTGAAGAAGCTTCTCGGATGAGAAATGAAGTCTTCAAAGAAAAACCAGGAAGTCCAGTTGCCTCTTGAAAAAGCACCTTTGGGACAACAGCCTGTGTCAATTAAAAGGATACTCCTTTGGTCTTCTTAGCTGCCAGAAAAAAGGGAGTGGGGGAAAACAAGGCATTCTTGAAATACCTAGATAGTCACTTCAGCAGCCCAAAGTTGTCGGAGCATAAGAAGGCTATTGGAGAACATGATGGATGACTCTCGGAGACGGATCTGTCCCATTGGAGAAGTCACATCCAGGGGGCGGGGGAAAGACCAGGGCCAAGGGGGAAATATATGATGTGATTTAGTATCGGCTACACCCAGCCACGCGCCAACGTGGCAATTTCTAATAAACCAATTTACTTTTTCTGAGATGTGGCTGGAGACTTTTGCTTTGAATGAGGGTGGATTTGTTGGAGCCCTGACAGCCTGGTTGTTTTCAAAAGTCACACGACTGCGACTAACGCAGTCTTTGTGCTCTCTAGAGGCCCCCATTCGTGCTCACTAGAGGACACCCCACCTTCTACCTCGTACCCAAAGACTTTGAACTGGCCAGGATGGCTTCTTCATAAGACAGGATGTAGTACAGGACCAACAGCTGGGCTGTGATTCCGTAACGGGGATTCAGCCGAGCAGCTTCTCCTCCCTGCAGATGAAAAACACAGAAGATGCATCGTGTGGTAAATGTCGTAGTATGAGGGAGACACCTTGGGAGACAGAGGGAAGATCCACAGACTAGACAACAATCAGATAAGAGGCAGCTGAGCCCAGAGAAGGAAAGGGGTGTAGCAAACACCTCAGAAAAAAACTCTCTCTAGTTTCTTGGCCTGTAAAGGTGAGGGCGGGAGTGATGTACAGGTAGTCCTTGGCTTACAACAGTGTGTTTAGTGACCGTTCAGAGTCTAAGTGCTATTGCTATAGCTATTGAGTCAGTCAGGATTGAACTGCTGATTGTAGGCAGAGTTAGCCTGCAATAGCAATAGAAATAGCAATAGCTTAAGACTTATACACCGCTTCACAGTGCTTTACAGCCCTCTCTTTTACAGAGTCAGCCTCTGGGTCCTCATTTTATCCACCTTGGAAGGATGGAAGGCTGAGTCACCCCTGAGCCTGGTGAGAATCAAACTCTTGGCAGTCAGCAGAATTAGCTTGCAATACTGCATTCTAACCACTGCACCACCACAGCTCAGTAATTGCAATGTAACTTTATAATCAAGTAGAATTAGTTCATTCTGGGCATGCTTCTTGTGTGGACTACCTCACAAGATTGACGCCTTTTTTGCAAGTCTCGGACCTTTTTCCCCTTTAGAGATCCTAGTATCTACGTACTAAATGAGCTGGATAACAGCTCCCATTAGTCTCACAACTACGTCCCAACTATGGCTAGGTTCAGAAAGACCGATCTAGGAATCACAGTGGCCTTTTGGGAGAGCTAGCGGTTAAAAAGCGAGAATAAGGATCTTGAGGCTTACACGTTATTTGCGTTATTGCCCCAAGTTTACTTATTTGTAAAATTTATTGGCTCCCCATCTTACCACAGGGTTACTCTGGGCGGCTTACAATCTTGAAGTCTTCCCTCGAAAGGAAGACAGGAAGGACACATCATAGTACTGTTTCTCAACCTTGGCAACATGAAAGTGGGTGGATTTCAACTCCCAGAATTCCCCAGCCAGCCATGTCGAGGGAATTCTAGGAGCTGGAGTGTGTGCATTTTCAAGTTGGAATATAAATCAAGACACATCCGTAGATCCATCTAATTCAGCGTTTCCTCAATCTTGGATACTTTGAGATGGATGGATTTCAACTCCCAGAATTCCCCAGACAGCAACACTAGGGAATTCTGGG